GACTGAAGTTCAAAGGGACACAAGTGCGGTATCATTCAGGACATTCGGGACAGTGCCCAGTCCAATACTGAGAGAATATTGACCGGCAATAGAGCATTTTGATTGGTTGATTTTAGTTATTGGCCCTCTGGCTGCCCGAGTTGTGCAATAACATAAAAAATATTTAATAGGGTGATTTCTGATCTGGGGTTAGCTTAACAATATATTAAACAACCCAGCCCAGTGGAATATTCCAGAATTGGACAGTTACAAACCTTTCGATATTCATGCTCCCCCCTTTCTTGCCATGCCATCCTTCCCCTCCGCCACTCAGCTGTCTGTCATGGCCTCCAAACCGCACAAGATTGGAAAATATCCTAGTTAAGTAGTCCCCTGTTGCTATTTGCTGAAGACGAGCACTGTGAAAGGACACAAAATAATATCAGTTTCAGTTTTATATATCAGGGACCAAAAGTAACATCCTCTGCTCTTTTGTTTGGTTTCCATAAAGTCTGATTTGTAACACCTGCAAAATTTGAATGTGAAAAGTTTTTTTTTGGTTCTTACTAGATGCAAAAAGATACCTGTTGGTAAATGTTGGGTATCCTGCAGCCTCTTGATCCATAACAACTCTGAATAGTGATGCAGGAGCAAAAGGATCACTCTGTATTTTGTCAGCATAAAGTTTAAAGTTTGGAAAAATCCAGCATCCTAGAGCAGAACAGAAATTAAAATAAAACTATAAAAATGACAGTCCTGAAGCATCACCGTTCTGCTGTTGTTAGCTCCTGTAAAGCATGGTATTATGATTATTAATGTAGGCCACAAATTTCCAAACAGGGGAAATCAAAATTAATCATCTACAGTTGATCTTAGAGACTTTTACAGAATAATTTTACTGTTAGTTTAGGAGCTAGACCAAAGTGAGTTTTTCATTATTTTACATCTAAGATAATTCCTTTTGTTTTTAGATACACTGGTTTATTTCTCACTCTCAGTTCACTTTATAATTGCTTCTGTCAATCATTGTCAATTAGGCTAGTATTACATTTCTCAGGGATATATTCTTAGTTTAGCTTCTGCTGTATTTTCTTTTACTTCGAACCACACAAATTCAGCCAAAAATTCAGCTACAACCATCAATCATAACTACGCTATCTTCAATCTATCCTTCCTCCTTTTTAATCTGTGATTTCAAACCAATCTCTTTATTTTCATTTGTAATTTTGATTACGTACCTCATTTAATTAAACTGTGATTTATATTGTGCATTCGAATTGTCTTCTCTGCCATACTAGTAACCTTTAGAGGTTAAATTTACTTTCTCAATCAAATATTATAAATATCAATGTTTTGCACTGCTTGCCATCTATCCTCTTCTTGACACTTCTTCTTCCTTACAAATTTTTGTATAAAATCAATCCATTTTGAAGTACATGGGAAATGAACAGAACAAAATTAATTCTAAAGCTGTCAGTTCAAGTTTGAGCCCTAATTGTCATGGTATAGGGCTAACAATCTGAGAAACAGCTAATGCTCACTTGTAATA